TGTGTGTGTGTGTGTGTGTGTGTGTGTGTGTGTGTGTGTGTGTGTGTGTGTGTGTTTTGAGAAAGGGTTTTTCTGTGTAATAGCTCTGGCTGTCCTGGACTTGCTTTGTAGACCAGGCCAAATTTACACTTTAATTCATATAAAAGTGAAGTTTAATTATTTGAATAGTTGTTTTATTATCCCTTATAACATATTTTGCTTTTAAGAAAATAATTTAAGTATTAAGGATTGATATCTATAATACCTTTGAATTTGAAGGAAATACAAATATTTAGTTCTAGCTGAAACTGAGGTTAGCCTCAAACTCACAAAAATCTTCCTGCTTCTGCCTTTCGAGTGATGGGATTAAAGATGCGCACTACCACACCCAGCTGCTAATTTCTTTTTAGTGCTGAATACTATTCTATGTCTATAATACCATAGTTCGTCAACTTGCATATTGAACAGCATCTTGATTGCTTCAAAATTTGGCAATTACGAAAAAAAAATTGAACGTCATCTAGTCTTACTGATATTTCTTTAACAGTAATTTATGCACAGTCTTAAGTTCTACCTTTACTACTTTCTCTAATTTTTCTTCTCTCTAGCCTCCCCTCCATTAATTTATCTTTATTTTCTGTGTAGCTGAAAACTACCATTATGTTATTTAACTAAAGCAAATCTGTATATTCAATGGAGCTAGCAAACAACTTTTATCATGCTATTAAAGTAATTCAAAATATAAAGTTTTTACTCAAAGTTGTTGTGCTGGAATTCATTTTGTTACTGTTAACTACGTAGCCTAGGTTGGCCTTCAACTCAGTCTGTAGTCCAGGCTGGCCTCAAACTCATGATCCTCCTTCCTCAGCCTCCAGTTCTTGGAATAGGCATATATCACCATACCTAGCTTAAACACCATTTTATCTTATTTTACTTTTTATCTTCACATACATTACATCCCCTTCCTCCACTACTCCCATCACCCCCAGATCTACTCTTCCTCTATTTCCCTTCAAAATCGGAGAGGGGCAGTCCTCCCAGGGATATCAACCAAAGAATAGTATAACAAATAAACCCTTATATCAAGACTGGACAAGGTGACCCAGTAGGAGGAAAAGGGTCCCAAGGACAAGCAAAAGAGTCAAAGACACTCCTACTCCTACTGTTGGGAATTCCACAGGAGTGTCAAGCTACACAGCCATAAGGTATGCAGAGAATAGCTCAGACACAGACAGGGTCTGTGGTTATCAGGTCAGACTCTGTGAGTTCCTATGAGTCCTGCTTAGTTGATTCTGTGAGTCATGTTCTTGTGATGTTCTTGACCCCTCTGGTTTCTAGAATACTTCCTCTTCCTCTTCTGCGCATTTCCCCTGGCTTCACCTAGTGTTAAACACCATTTTAATGGATTCATTTTTTTTTTAATTCTGTATACCCTTCAAGAGGAAGAAAATAAAGTGTTTTGGTTTGTCCTATAGTCTCACATTGTCAAAAAAATCAAGTAAAAACAAAACCAAACAAAAAATTTGTGATCCCAAAATGTGTAATGGATTTCTCTTAAACAAGTAAGCAAGGATTTCTACATCGGGCACCAGTTGTATGTTTTCTCTCCAGTTTGATTATGATACTACCTGACTGGGTAAACATCAGATCAAACAGCATGAGGATACCAGTCCCTGTGGCTGTTCCCTCTCTCACTTCAGATGTTTACTTATATTTAAGACCAACTGGCTGTAAATAAAGGTCACTCTAATCCTTCCTTTGTTAGGTTGCTTGCTTCACTGGTTCACAAACTCAAAAAAATATTGTTATAAAAGGTAATATGAAGAGGTGATAGGCCAAGGCATGGGCAAGGGGTGTGGTGGGTCTACACCTCCTCTCTGGGCACACAAAGTTCAGCAACCTGGATGTTCTCCAAATCACGTCCTTTTGGATTCTATGGAGAATTCATTGCATAGCCACAACTGCAAAGAGATTGGATGAAGAACCCTCACGAGGCCTGTCTGTTCAGATTCTTCAGTATTTCTTCTCAATGGGCCTGGGGCAAGTTCTTCTGGAGTTAAGAGGACCTAATGACCTGCTGTTACACAAAGAAGACTGTCTCTTTATGACCTGCCATAAGAACAATAGGATAAGATTAGGATATATTTTTAGTCTCTGTGGTCTGCCTTGTCAGAGTGAAATTCTAGTTTCTCTGGTCTGCCTTGGGGAGAAAAGCAAGCAGGTGAGAGGGCAGAATAAAGGACAGACAGAAGGAGAAAGGGAGAGAGTGGGGAAGAAAGGAAGAGAGACTGCCTTCTAAGACTTGCTTCGGAGGTTAAAAATATCCTAACATTATTCTGTGATTTAGAAGACTTAGAAAATACGGGACCTATGAGCCAAGAGTCATGGATGAAAATCAATGTATATTATAGTATTACAGACACTCTAAAGTACCTAAGGAAAAGAATACCTAAAAGACCTGAAAGCAGCATGCACTTCAAATACATTGCCCTGCACTTACAGATCCACCAGGAGAGACTTTTTTAATGTCAAACCACAACCTCCACCCCATCTGACACACTGGAGATATCTGCTTCATTTCTGCATCCTGAATTTCATGCAAGCTAAGGCTCAGAACCTTACAGAGAAGACGATTCTGGGAAGCAGTTTCCACTTTAAAATAAGCTGACAATTGCTAACACTGAAGCTGGAACCACTCAAATTTCCATCAATGTAAGAAGAGAGAGAGAGAGAGAGAGAGAGAGAGAGAGAGAGGGCTCACCCCTGGCACTACTAATAATATTCTTCTATACTTGCAGACAGGCGGTTAGCATAACTGCCATCTGAGTGACTTCACGCAGCAGCTGATGAAAAGAGACCCACAGCCAAATAGGCAGAACTTGGGGAATCTTATGGAAGAAGGGGAAGAAGGATTGAAAGAGCCAGAGAGGTCAAGGACACCACAAGAAAACCTACAAAATCAACTAACCTGAGCCCATAAGAGCTCACAGCGACTGACCCACCAACCATCCATGGGACAGACCTAGGCCCTCACACCTATGTAACAGCTATACAGTTTAGTCCTCATGTGGGACCTCTAACAGCAGGAACAGGGGCTGTTTCTGATTTGGCTCTTCCTTTGGATCCCTTTCCCCTAACTGGACAGCCTTGTCTAGCTTCAACAAGAGAAGATGCTCCCAATCTTACTTAATATGCCAAGGTGGGTTGACAGGTTTCCCCTTCTCTAAGAAGAAAGGGAGAGCTCATACAGGAAGAGGAGGAGGGAAGAAGAAGAGACAGGAAGGAGAGGAGGGAGGGGAAGTTTCAATAGGGTTGTAAAGTTAATTAATTAATTAATGAAAAAAAGAATGGCTAAATAAAATTATGTATTTGTATAGTAAATTTGACCAAACAGAAGAAAAAAAAATCTACTTTGGGCAACAACTTAAATGAATCTCATCAATGTAGTCCTGAATAGCAGGAATAAAACACAGGGAATGCAAACAGTTCTATTTACGTGAAAATCAACAATGATGAAAGAATAGTGATTACTCTGGTAGAGGAGAATTTGCCTGGGAGGCAAAAGGCAAGCAATGGGTATTATTTTTTGAAGGACTTCCAGCAATGAAGTGCTAGAGAATAATTTTTAACTTGTCTTTGTGGTAGCTGTGTGAATTTTACATGTGTGAAAAATGGAATTGTATTTTTATGATGTGTGCACTTTGTTGTCAGTTATATTTAATTATAAAAGTCCATAAACAAAATCAATATAAAAGACATTCCAAGACAAAGACAATGGCAGTGTCAATATCAATATTCAAATATATCTTACAGACTTACAAAGCATAACAATTCAATAGAAAAACGATAAAGAAAATAATAGATCATTTGAATAATTTCAAAATAATTGATTTTAGCTCAGCAGTCTCTGTTCTATGTATCATTGCTTTTGATAGATACATTATGAACATTTTCTCCCACTGGGATGTACTTTTCATTTTTTTATAAAGGTTTCTTTTAATTAAAATTTATTTATTTATTATGTATACAATGTTCTATCTGCTTGTACAGCTGCGCACCAGATCTCATTATAGATGTTGTGAGCCATCATGTGGATTGCCGAGAGTTGAACTCGGGACTTCTGGAAGATCAGACAGTGCTCTTAACCTCTGAGCCATCTCTCCAGCCCACTTTTTCATTCTTAATGGTCTCTTTTAGCAAACAGTTTTAATTCTAATATTAAGTACATCATCTTTATTTTCTTTTTTAATATTTAAATTCTCAACCTAAAAAGAATTTTTTTAATTTTCTATACAGTCTTTAAGACATTTTAGCTCATTCCACAGTTATAAACATCTCTTATGCTTGATTTCAAAAACCTTAATTTTGGCTTTAAAATTTAAATCCTCAACCTATGAAGAATTGATTTGTCTTTTTTTTTTTTTTGGTATAAGGATAAAAATATTGTTCTCCATAAACATATCATCCAATAGTATGTTTATTGAAAGCACTATGACTCTGCCTCTCGCAACTGCAGTACTGCCTTTGTTAGAGACATAGTATCTGTGGATCTTTCTCTGAATTCTGTTCTGCTCCATTGGTTGTCTTGTCTATTTGTGAATTTGTTCTAACTACTTCATAATAGCCTTATAGTGGGTATTGATTGGGCAGTTCAAATCTTCCACAGTTGTTCTTCAAAACTGACTTTGTTATTTTTGCCTTTTTTAATTTTTGTTTGAATTATGAGAATCAGTAGTCATTTTTTTTACATTCTTAAAACCTGCTGAGATCTTGCGCTGCAGATAGTAAGACTATTGACATTTTTATAATATTAGCCTTCCAAATCATGAATCGCCAGGCCTCCATTTACTCAAATATTTATTTTTCTATTTCTTTCACTAACATTTGATAGCTTCAGGGTTGAGCTCTTCAACATCTTTCATTTCATTCATTTTTTTAAAATATTATTTGAACTGGTATTCTAGGTTCCTTTATTTATTCTTTGCTGATATTTAAATTTTGTGTAGAGAGTGATTTTTATATTTTGAACTTTATTAAACACACATTTGCTTTTAATTTCATATTTGATTCTTTTCGTTGACTGCTCATTTCCGAACTCATTTCTACAAGTAACTTAAAGCTTTACCCTCTGCTGTCATCTCACAGAGGCCACAAATATATTTTCCTTTCTGTCACTGCTGTTTGATTCTAATATGCAGACTCTTCTATTTCTATTGTCTTCTATGTCTCTGAAGAGCTTACAATGATCCTATGTCAAAGAAGTTTCTCTTAGGTATCTCTTAGACTGTTACCCTTCCACCTGAGGCTGACCTAACAGAAACAATAGAGTATTGCAAAGGCCTTAATATGATATTGTGGTAAATGATTCTTAGCACCAGGGAAGCCAAATTTACCTAACGAAAGGCTCAAAATTTTAAGATTCCTAACATCTCTGATATTATTTGATTCTGTGTTTAAATGCTGTTATTTTATTGCCATAATCAAGAGACAAATTTCAAGCTTTAGGATATGATTTAGTTGGTAGAGTGCTTGCTTAGCATTCACAAAGCCCTCACCTGAGCTCTATCTCCACTACGTAAACTGGGAGTTGTGGCTCATTCCTGGAATCCCAGCACTCAGCATGCTGGAGAGAGAAGTTGGAGGATCCGAGACATTCAACTTACACTTGGCTAAAAAGGAGGCAGTAAGACTCTGTCTTACCTAAAGGCAAATTTCACAGAAATAGGTTTAAAAACCAGAGTTCATGCTCTGGAGTTTGGTGATCAGGAAACCTGTGAGCGTGAGTGAGTTGGTGCATTGCATGCAGGTGCTGCTTCATCTTTCTTCCAAATTAAAGTTCTGTTGGTCTTCTTATGGCGCTCCTGTCCACTCTGGGTTCTTTTATTTCTCCACTCGTCTCTACAACTCCTTGTGCCCTGCCCAACGTTTGGCTGTGAGTCTTAGCATCTGCTTCAATTCCCTGCTGGGTGGAGTCTTTCAGAGGACATCTGTGGTGGGCTCCCATCCTGTTCCCTCTCTTCAACCTCTTCCAGTGTCTAGTCTACTTGCCCTTCTCTGAATGAGAATTAAGCATCCTCCCTAGGGTCCTGGGTATTAAGCTTCTTTAGGACTATAGATTTTGTATGTTTATCCTGTATTATATGGCTAATATCTGCTTATAAGTGAGTATATTCCATGTGTGTCCTCCTGGTTCTGGGTTACCTCACTCCGGATGATCTTTCTAGTGCCATCCATTTGCCTGCAAATTTCATGATTTCTTTGCTTTTTGTAGCTGAGTAGTATTCCATTGTGTAAATGTACCACAATTTCTGTATCAATTCTCCGGTTGAAGGACATTCATGTTGTTTCCAGATTCTGGCTTTTATGAATAAAGCTGCTATGAACATAGTTAAGCAAATGACCAACAGGACTAACAAATCTGGGCACATGGGGGGGTCTGCAGAGACTAATGCATTAACCAAAGACCATGCATGAAGGGAACCTAGATGCCCTGCTTAGATGCAGCCAAAAGGCAGCTCAGTCTCCATGTGGGTTCCCTAGTAAGGGGAGCAGAGGCTGTCTCTGACATGGATTCTGTTACCTGCTGTTTGATAACTTTGCCCTGGGGTGATCAGGCCACAGAGGAAGAGGATGCAGGCATACTTGATAGGCTGGGGTCAGATGGTAAGGAAAAAGGACGCCCCCTTTCTGAGGACTAGAAGAGGGGAATAGGGGAAAAGAGAGAGGGACTGGTAGGAGATGAGGGAGGGGCTACAATTAGGATATAAAGTGAATAACTTATAAAAAATAAATTGAAATTTTTTTAAAAAAAAAAGCCATTTACAAGTACAAGGTCAGGGCAAGGAAAGCCAGTGACATAATATGGTCTACAAGACACTTGTGCCTGTGTTAGTTTACTTGACCAGAAACTAGTGCCTCTTTTAGATTCAGTATTTAACCAAGGTAGGTCAGGAGGGGCAATATTTCCTAAAAGAATAACTACCGATTAATCATTAATGTTACAGCAGAAGTAAAACTGGACCATTCTTTGGGTAAAGGTTGGTGGGAGAGAAAACAGATGAAGAGTGTACTAGAAGCTGAGAAAACCTGGCCAAAGTCCAAGCTAAAGTTTAGAGGGGTTGAGGGAAGGCTTCATTTGTTGAAAAGTCATTCAAATGCATAATGTAAGAATTTTTGCAAGAAATAGGGCCATACATTTTTCTCTTTTTTTCTTTTTACTGTTTTTTTTAAATTATTTTTTTTAGTGAACATAGAAAATAAAGTATTTCTTTATAAATTATTTATTTGCATTTTAGTTTGCTCATATTTGCCCTTTTTACTTTCTTCCTTCCTTCCTTCCTTCCTTCCTTCCTTCCTTCCTTCCTTCCTTCCTTTCTTTCTTTCTTTTTTTTCTTTCTTTCTTTTTTCTTTTGCCCTGCCATTCTCTTTTTTTCTCATATTCAGGGTCAGGAGCCATATCAATTGAGCTGTCCAAGCCTTTTCTCTTGGATCCTCAAATGAAATTACTCCTTTGGGTGTTGCCCGACTTGGTGGTTTAGTTTGCACTGTGTAACCTTAAGGTTTAGGAAATTTCTCTTACAGCTTTGGGCAATATTCTCTCCTGTTCTTTGTACTTACATCTGTATGGGCTCTAGGTTCATCTGTGCTTCTTTCTCCCTCTTTGAAATAGTAAACATAACACAACAAGGGGAGTACGAGAGGGCAATGTTCACAGCAGATACTGTGCACGTGAGAAACCGTCACAGTGAAAGCCAGTGCTTCTGTACAATTAATATATGCTGCTAAATTTTCAAGTTTATACATATTCAAGTCAAAGGAGAGTATAATATATCTCTTGTCACCATGTGTATTCTAGCTGCTCTTCTGATAGGGGCTAAGTGTAGCTTTCTAGAGTTAGAGTAAAACACACCCACTGGAAGTTAAGAAAATGGAACGTTTGCAGATAATAACCTAGAAAACAACTGGTTCATAATTTTTACACAAATTAAATTTTATTTCTCAACAAATGAATAAATTGATTTTGAAGGGAGAAATTGAAAATACAAGGAGTGGATTTACCAAAGAACACAAAGGACATCGCCAACACTTTTTTTTTTCTGTCATTTTCTTTAGTGCTGTTTTTTTTTTTTTTTTGTTTGTTTGTTTGTTTGTTTTGCTTTCAGGATTTTCCAGCTGAATGTTATGACATTAAAAACCTAAGCTAGTCTCGTACCTATTCTCAAATTGAGTTTTGTGATGACTTTCCGTCGTCTTTGATTTCCCTACTTTTTGACGTCTCCATTTCCGTGGCATGGCCTCCAGTCACTGCTGATATCCATCTCTGCTTTTCCTATCTGTTGCTGCATAGTGAAAATTCCAGATCTGCCACTTTACTGGCCCTGTGATTTTTAGATAAGTTTCTCAATTTGGTCAAACAATAATTTCGGCGGAATGAAGATAATAGTAAAATTTACGGTCGACAAATGTTTCTGAGGATCTGTGTGCACACCTATAACATGCATGTAACTCACGTTAACATGACACATATGTGCCCCAAAGCAGCAGAGATCATTAACCTGGAGTCAGCCTTCCGTATTTAAACTGTTGTATCCTTTTACTTCCTCCATATCATTAAGATCAGATCCAGGACCTGCAAGGCACGGTATATAGTGCTCTACAACTGAGCTATATGCCTCACGGAGATACTTTCGAGTACTCATTCACAGGGATACTTTCCTTAAACAGATAACCCTAATCAATCCTCTAGCACTGTTCCTTTTCATCTCGTGACTTGTGACGTGTTGCTCTTACTTCCCCATGCCATCATACCTTTTGCACAATCATTCTTTGGCATTGGAGTGCCGGCCTCCTCTCCTCCTATAGCTTGCAGCTCTGCTCTGAGGCAGGCTGCTACTGAAACTGACACCCACAGGGTTAAACCTAGTGGCTGAGCTATTCCTCCTCCCCCCCAGTCCCCCTTTTCACTGTAGGCTGGCAGCAGTCCTAACTGCCTACTGAAGCCAAATGCTTGAGGAGAGGGGAAGTAAGGAACTAGCCATGAATCCTTTCCAGAAAAATGAGTCCAAAGAAACTCTTTTTTCACCTGTCTCTACTGAAGAGGTGCTGCCTGGACCTCCAAGCCTTCCAAAGAAGTCACCTCCGGTGAGTCTCCAAGTTCAGTTTGTCTCTGACAGTAACAGCGTACTCTTTTGAAGTTCCTCCTTGGCTGTTGGAACTTTGTGCTGAGCTGTACTAGAGCAGAAATGCTACTCGAATTCACCTGAAAATTAATTCTGGTTTCTTCTGTTTCCGGAAGGAACCAACAGGATAGGTTAGCCAGATTTGGTTTTTTTTGTTGTTGTTATTTGTTTGTTTGTTTGTTTGTTTTCAGTTTGGGCCACCAGAGTTTTGCTCTATTTCATTGCATAGTCCCTGGGGGAGAAAGTGCTTTGAATGTCCAGGCAAACTTGGCAAGAATTCCCATCTGGAGAACTGTGTGTGATTGTTCTTTCCTTACCAATACGAAAACCTCAGCCTTTAGCTCCCCTTGTGTGCAGAGCTTTCTTCTTTTAGACACCAACAGAAACTTTAGAATAGACCCACTCTCTGTTACTGAGTGTCCCTACTTAGCAACAGAGAGGTCAGCTAGAGGAACAGAGAATAATACCTCGAGTTATGTACTCGTTAAATCACTTATCACTGAATTTATCACCTCATTCAATCCTCATATCATAGAAAAAATCTCCTCAATAGAAAGGCTACAGGAATAATAACCAGTATTTGCTGAGCTCTTACTGTCAACCATGCAGTTAGCATGATTCTTATTTCTTTGGAATAACAAGATTGAAACACAGAGACAGGGTAGTGGTATAGCTTAATCGGGGTTTGAATGTTAATCCAATTAGTGATGGTAAACACAGCGAATGTTAAATAAATTCTATGTTACCTAGTTCTCAAGCTGGGAGTGGCAAAGATAATAATTTCAATTCATTGCATCTCCCAAGCAAGTTATTATCATGCTGTAGCATGTATGTAGAAAGATGTTTTTTTCTTGTCTACATGGTTAAAACACGTGCTGAATTTATCATGTATAGTTAATCGTATTAGGTCTTGTTAAGAGGCACATACCTATGAAATAAGAGGTAACGTAAATCTCATGTTAGCGTTAGAATGTCTCAAGGGGCAGGTTACCTCTGTCCCCTCTCCGTGTTAGTAAAGCTGTTGTAATGAAAAGAGATTTGAACTAAAACGTTGTATTCTTTGCTTTATATGATGCATGAGCTAGCGAGTTACTCTAATATATAGGCTGCAAATGAAAATCCTGTTTCTGGAGAGATGGTTCAGCAGTGAGGGCATTTGCTGTTCTTCCAAAGGACTGGAGTTTGGCTCCTAGTTCCATGTCAGACAGCTTACAGCAACCTGTAACTCCAGCTCCAGAAGCTCCAACATATTTTTCTAGCCTCTGCAGGCACCAACATACAGATGGCTTACACTTTCACATACACAAACACATATACACATGAAGGTAAAAATTTAAAAAGAAAATATTATGGAAGCGTACTTATAGGAAAGGTGGTCGCTTAATTTCATAGGAATTCAGAATTCTTTTCCCAGAGTTAAGGTGGTCGATCAGCTTACCTTTAGGAATGTCTGGCCTCCATTTTGAGCTCTGTGCCTGGATCCTGCTGCCTACGAAAAGGAAGCCATCATATTGTCAAGCTTCCCCCCCAGAATGGTGAGCATGGCAGATGGGAAGAGTTGGTCTCTCTCCAGTGGAACCAGGTGGGATAGTGAGACATGGCTCTGGCTGCACGGAGATTGGGCGCTTCGAAGGCCATCTTTTCATTTTATCCTTAGCAATGATTATCACCATCCTCTTGCCTCAAGCCATAGATTTTTATTGAGATACCGTGAGGAGATGTTTGCAACTCCTCCTCATCAAGGAATGTCTGGCCAGTTCCACGTTAAATAAAGGACAAAGCAAGATTTGGACTTTTTAACTCCCACACCAGTAATATATGCGTGATCAGTATGACAATATATGCTTGATGAAGAGACCCACTGCTTCATGGTAACAAACAACGATTTAACAATGAGTTTAGCCAGGCATGGTGGGGTTCACTGCAGCCTGAGTTCTTTGGGCACATGAGGCAGGAAGATCACAGAATGGGAGTCAGCCTGGGCAACATGGTGATAACCTCTTTATATTCATAAAGTTGAAGATAACATTTTCAATTGTAGGGTAATCGCGTAGTTTAAATGGGAAAAGGGCTCATTCTTCAACCTTTGCCTTTTTTGTTGAACAGAAAATCTGTGGCTCCAGCTATCCACTCAGCATCGCCTTCATTGTGGTTAACGAATTCTGCGAGCGTTTTTCCTATTATGGCATGAAAGGTAATTCACTGTCCCAGAGTCTTTGCTGCTTGTGTTTATAGCGGCCTGGTCCACTTATGTGTACTTTGTCTATTCTTTCTGCCTTGGTGTAAAATAATCCTTTCTTCTGGCCATGATAGTAAATGTGTATTTAGTTTTTATATTAAATAAAATTATGTATTTAATTTATAGAACTTATATGTAAGTTTTATACTAAATAAAAATTTATTTAATAACTCATGCTGGTTAAGATTTCTTTTTAAAGGCCGTTGGAACCAATACCCAACCAATAAGAACATAAGCGGAAATGCCCCTTTGAACTATTGTTGTTGGGAAAGAAGGGAGAAGAGGGCATTGGAAGGACCACGCTAACTTCTCACGGTCTAAATGATGCCATGGGCAGACAGAGATTGGAGGGATGGCTATTGTATTTGTGTATCCAGCATGCCTCATTTACTTTCATAGTTCCCATGGGTGCTGCTCCTACTGCTTGGCAGTCATCACTCAGTTATTTCACGAAGAGGAATGCCAAAGGCCGGGGTCACCTTTAGAGCCCGGAGACCCAACATATTTCTCTGTAAATTGTTTTATTGCATCTATCTTACTGTGTCTCCCGTTTGTTTTCTTCTGCTTCATCTCAGCTGTGCTGACCCTGTATTTCCTGTATTTCCTGCACTGGAATGAAGACACCTCCACATCTGTGTACCATGCCTTCAGCAGCCTCTGCTATTTCACTCCCATCTTGGGAGCAGCCATTGCTGACTCGTGGCTGGGAAAATTCAAGTAAGAACAATGGCAGGTCCCAGGCTCAGGAGCCTCACAAGGGCACTGTTCAGAAAGTTACCCACAATGCCTAATCTTTTGCCTTTTAGCAAAAAAAGGAAACAAAAAACAAAAACAAAAAAAACAGCTCATGGCTGTGACAAATAGGTACCTCTCCAAGACTGACAACACAGAAAATCTCCTTCTGTGCATGCCCCTCCCCCAATGTTTTCACATCCTTTAGTCAAAAGTTCCTCTCTTAAAAATCTAATTTTAGTTTTCTACTCTGTAGCTTAAGACCAAATTTTATTTTATCTTAGTGACGGTAAAGATTGTTACCCATTGGCACATTTATGTTTGTGAAGACCTACTTTGGTTATTTGGTACTTTCTCCACATCATCTCCAGATTTAGCCACCCCACCTCCTTCGGGATCTTACAGTTCTTTCTTTTCAGAGATTTGAAAATCATTCTTGTTTACCTTCTTTGCCTTCCTGTAGTTTCCTTCTTTAGAATCTAATAAAGATTTACACAAGTTAAAACAATAATCAATTTAGAGTCAGGCAAGGTGGCGCATGCCTGTGATCCCAGCACTCAGGGAGGTAGAGGTAGGAGGATTTCTGTGAGTTCGAGGCCAGCCTGTCCTACAAAGCAAGTCCAGGACAGCCAGGGCTACACAGAGAAACCCTGTCTCAAAAAACAAAATCCATTTAATTCAGTTCTTCTGTTCCTAAAAATAGAAGCAGCAGACATGGTATAAAGTTACAACTGGCCTCTATAACATTGTCCTCATGGGCTAAAAAAAATTTTTGCTATCCATTATGTAGTGATACTCTGTAAATTTGTCATCCACAGGCTTGTCTGAATTAGCATTTCTCAAAATATGCTTTAAAAAACTTGACAGTATAAGATATAATGAACTATGTGGGAAAATAAAGCCTTTATGGCAACATTAGATTAAAAAAATGTTGTTTCGGAAACATTAACAAATGTTTCCTTACCGTATAACTTCTTTCAATCTCTAATAAGTTAATACGTACTGTAAAATTTCCAAGTGAAAGTTAAGTGTGTATTGTTTTCTAGAGTAGTTTGACCCTGTGGTATTGTGTTTATAGACCTAGTGTTTGAAGGAACTTGTCTTTGTTCACATCTATTGCTATGACAAATATCCTGGCAAAAAAGCAACAGGGAGGAAGAGGCTGATTTGGCTTACAATTCTTAGTTAGTGTCATCATTTTGACAAACTCAGGGCAGGAAATCAAGTGGCTAATCACATCACTCCTTGAGCCAGGAGCAGTGAGAGAGTAAACTCAACCCCACTTGTTTCTTCTTAGCTGGCTTTTCCTCTAATATGTTCAGGGTCCCCAGCCTAGGGAACAGCACTGCCTACAGTGGGCTGTGATTTTCTACAACAATTAAAAGTCAAGATAGCCTCCTCCCCATAGGCAAGGCTAAAGGTCAACTAGATGTAGATAATTCTTCATTTAAGTCTCTCTTCCCAGGGCATTCTAGTTTTGTCAAATTGATGGTTAAAACTGACCACCATGAAAGTCTAACAGTAAACACTGATTTATATTTTAATTTTATATATTACGCACATGCACACAATATATTCATATATGTGAATATGTAAGTACAGTCTCTTTAGAGAGGCGTGATGGGTCGGTGGCTATATTTGTTACTTATGTAGGAGTAATCATTGAATCCATTCAGATATGGATTGGAATTACACAGAGAATAAAAAAAATGCAATCTGTGGTCTATTCATTTCGTTGTAGAATAAAGGCTGATGCTGCAGCTGCATTTTTAAAATAAATTCCTTTGAGTTTGAAGAAGTACAATTTCAGGATTTAGCTTCCTGAATATTGGGGAGGAAATTTAGTACTCTTTGCTTGCGTTTTTTTTTAACCTACCCTTATTGAAGTGTAATTTACGTAAACTACACAAACCCAAAAGTCTTACGTGTACAACCTGAATTTTTGCAGAGATGTTACCGTTATGTAAACTATTTTCTCTAGCTTTCAAATTCTTCTTCAGAACTAAAGTATTTTCCTGTACTGGAATCAGGTACAAGTCTCTAGCATCTTCAAACAAACAAGAAAAAGTCTTGAATTCTTTTTGTATTTTCTTTCTCATATAGTTACTCCTGCAATTTTTTAAAAAGCATCTATATGTTAGCCTTTTTTTCTCTTTATTACTAGTTCTTACAAAAAAGTGATATAATTCAGTGTAAAGAACACAATTTAACTCAATCTGATCCAAAGTTAAATGTTTGTTGAACGTCCTTTATTTATCCAAATAATCATGAGCATAAGGAGATTAATTATACGTAATATGTTTTCACATTGTTAGAGTTTAAATAGCTCTAAGAAGAGCAAATTGTGGTAGTTTCAATAGGAGATAATGTAAATTATCTTTCTTTTTCTACTAAAATTTCTCAGTATACTGAAAATGACCTCTGTTACCAAATTACAGTGTCCATTTCTAAATTTTTACTCATTCTAAACATATATTTTTTAATAATTCAGCCTGTTTATCATCCCTGAATTCTTGAAATTTTCTTGCCTTCTTTAACACTGTATTTCCTTATTATCTTACTTTTATATTTCTGTTTTTCTAAATATACCTCCTTTTGATTTTTGTTTACTTAGCTCTTTCCTAAATGTCAGATTTCTATCAAATGATAACTCTTGCTTTTTTTTTCTCCATACTGACTACCTCTGAGGAAGTCTGGAGGTATACATCTCAGCCACATGCAGCTACTCAAAACATTGGAACCTTGAGTTCAAATCCCAGCACGCACTCGTAATTGCATACTTCTATTCAAACTGGCTGTCCTTATTCCTAGCTTCATGTCACCACACTGAATCAACTGTGTGATTCCACAAGTTCTAAGTATATACTGTTGGTCGCGCACATTCATTCTCTTCAGTACTAACTCCAACTGCTATCAGTTGCCACCACTTTGTCTGTATAATCATCGTCTCTGAACTGAAAGATGGAAAGGGACACCTGAAATGCTTTCACTGCTATTTTTTTTTCTATAACTGAGTCTATGTACTATTGTCTAAAACATAATTGAGCCTGAAAGTAGATGTGCGCAGTCATGAAGATGATTTTTATTTTCTTTGGGACCTTGTTTTGTTTTTTAAAAACAACATACTTTGGGGGAATGACTTAACAACTCCTTTAAAAAAAGGGGGGGGTGATTCAAAACTCATAATTTTTCCATTGTAGGCATGTGTGTGTTTGTGGACATATATGTGAGAGCCCTCATACACAAATAGAATGATGACTACAATCTGCTGTTTAACTTGGTATTCTGGCTACCATACTTTATTCCTGATTTTTAAAAACTGGAAGTGCCTCTTTCATGTTTTAAAACCTGAAGTAGCAGCTTTCCCTCAATGGAGGAAAAGGAATACTTATATGTTCAAATTTGTTCTCCTTTCTGTCTCAGGCTCTCTTTCTGTTTAATGCTGTGCTAACTCCCTTCCACCTAGTGTGTGTGTGTGTGTGTGTGTGTGTGTGTGTGTACTCTTTTCCAATGTTATCTTGGAGGTAGAAGACTTACAACTAGAAAGATTGTTTAAACATTCAAGAAACAATTTTCAGAGCAACTACTAAAAGCCTCTCTCTGCTTAGTGCCTCAGAATCCAAGCTATGTAAGAGGAAATGAGCACCCAGAATCCCCAACTCTTGTGGAAGGAAATCTTAAAGATTATTATTTTTATGTGTAAGTGTCCGTATGAGAGAACACCACATGTGTGAGTGCCTGCAAGGAGCGGGTACCAGAGCCCTTGGAGCAGGAGTTACAGGTGGCTCTGAACCACCAAATACACTACAATCCAAACTCTAGAAAAACAGTAAGAGCTCATAACCACTAAGCCATTTCTTCAGCCTCATTTAGTTTGTTTCTCTCTAACGATTTGGTATCATCTCCTTGAGAATGATCTCCTTGACAACTAATTTTCTTTCAGTTTCCCTTGTTCCATTTCTTTGTATTTGTTCCTTTTACTTCAATAATGATTCCACCACAGGATTCCAACCAATCTAAAAAGATTAAACATTTAGAGTGAGTAATCTCCAAGTTGAGGTTTCTGGTACCTCTAGAGGCTTTCTGGTACCTTCATTGCATTCTTTATATTTGACACCAGCATAAAACACTTTGAAATGATGAAGACAAACTATATAATTCTGAAGGTTTGTTATAACATTAACATTCCATTTATACATACACGGCATACATCCCACTTATGTAATGTTCATAAAGAGTATAAGCGGTATGTGCCGTGCTGGTGTGTAGAGCTCTGCATCTGTTCGTATTGGAATTCCTTAATCTGCTACTTATTTGCTATTCAAGTCCACTGGGGGTGAGGAAGGGAACCACTCAACAGATAGTTTTTACCAATTGCATGATTTTTTTCAATCACCAAAACAACTCAAGTCCTTCCCTATTTTTGGTAAAGTATGTATGTGGAAAATGTCACAGAGTTTGCAGTTAGCCCAAGTGCCCGAATTACGCAGGTGGAACCTAAAATTCCTCCGCCTTTCTGCACACCTCAGTGTGTTTGTATTAACACTCCTATTTACTTGCCACTCATCTTCCATCCATCTTGCTCCCTAGAACCACGAGACATTACTTGTTGAAAACAGCATGTGGAGGCGTCCTGTTCTACTGATATTCCTAATCGGAAAACATCACTGTGCTTGCTACAAATCCACCTAGTTCCTGTCCTGCCTGTATATAGGTAGAGCTGCTCTGAGGATGTGAGGCAGAGGCGAGTGTAGCTCTGAGAAGAGAACTTAGAAAGAAATGTCTGTAGCCTCCAAGGCAGTGCTACAGGATGAGGAATCACACTCCCTTTTTCTCCTCCATTTACACCGTTCTCCATGGTTTCCATCTATGCTTCCCAGTTCATTGTTTCCTCCTTCACTTCGTTCTCCTCCTCCACTGTTTACTGAGAAGAGTGTGAACCCTAACTCTGTATTACCCAAGTCTCTGAATAATACACTGACGGATTCAACTTTCTTCACAGGACAATCATCTATCTCTCCCTGATCTATGTTCTTGGCCACATATTCAAGTCTTTGGGTGCCATACCAATACTGGGAGGAAAAATGCTACATACGTGAGTAAAATCATGGAGCCAACTGAGCCACACATTAGGCAGGTCTCTCAGAAAGCCACTACAGGTAGATTTCTATTCTATATCAGAGGTTCTCCTTTACTTTTTAACATATAATTTTACTGCCAAACTTTCTAAAATAAAAGGTTTTACAAACAACTGAACCTTTCCCTACATTAACATATCTCATTTTTTATTAAGTAAACATTTGAAAACAAGTAGAATGCATACTTAGTGTCCTTTTCGTAAAAACTCTTCATTTGCACCAGGCAGTGGTGACACACACCTTTAATACCAGCACTTGGGAGGCAGAGGCAGGTGGACTTCTGTGTTTGAAGACAGCCTTGTTTCCAGAGTGAGTTCCAGGACGGCCAAGGCTACAGAGAGAAACCAACCAACCAACCAACCAAACAAACAAACAAACAAACACAAAAACCCAAAAAACAAAACAAAAAAACCCTCTTCATTTGTTTGAAAATAAGAAAAACTTTATACCTACTGTGTTCCTTCTCTCATCTATGGGTCCGTACACCACTACAAATTTTAAAAGTATTTACTTATAATATATTGTAAAAGTCATATTTAAAGCTTGGGGTTTTTCTACTTATATGTAGTTCTATATGTTCCTATTTTATGATCCCGCTTTACTTCAGGTATTACTGTTTATTGAACAAAGGTATTTGACAGATTTTAGTATACGTAATCAATACAGCACACACATATACACTGAGTTGAAATGTTTATTTTATTTGAAAATTAAAAACCATTAAATACCTTATTACCATTCCATAAAATTTACTGATGCCATCCCTATTTATTGTGATAAATTTCAATACTTTACTTTGTCTTTAGTAAGGGTATGCACGATTAGAGTCCATAAGATCTTTGATTAAGTTGCTAAAATAATATTAAAACCTAGTGTGCTAGTTTCCAAGTCCTTGCAGTGCGTTCTTCCACTCGATGCATGCAAAGGACAAATAGAACTATTACATGGAGGATCTTCCCAGGCAATACAATTCCTAGCAGAGGCTCAAATAGGAAGATGATAAGTTCTCATGAGTAGTTCTTGGATTGAAGACAAGTAGAAAGTACCCACGAGGTAGATGCCAAAAGAAGATGTTATCTTTGAACATCATTTTCCCTATGTGTCTTTATAGCCTATCTTTACAGATGGTTTGGTATCAACATGGTTATAGCATCCTTACCTCTCCATTTCAGGATCTTATCATTGGTTGGCCTGAGTCTAATCGCTCTGGGAACAGGAGGTATCAAACCCTGTGTGGCAGCTTTTGGCGGAGACCAATTTGAAGAAGAACATGTGAGAGTCTTGTTGTTTCTGTTTTTCAAGAGTGTGTAACGAGCATCAAAATGGGGAGCCTGTCAAGTAGCCACTTTCGGAGACTGAAGTAATTCCACTGATGAAGTCTTATCTGGGAAGCTGAGTTCTGCAATGGATGCTAGTCATCAGCTGAGAGAAAATTAAAGCTCAGTTAAAGAAAAGTATTCAAGGTGGAAGGTAGACATGTCATATGATGGGAGACTGAAGACAATGAGGACATAAAGACTCAATAAGATAACCAGTGAGGGAGCTTAGATGTGGCTCAGTTGGTAGACTATGTGAGTAGCATTCACAAAAGCCTGGCTTCAGTGCCCAGCAGGTACAAAGTGAGGATGGTGGCGCACGGCTATAATCCCAGCATTTGAAAGGTGGAGGCAGAGGGATCAGAAGTTCAAGGTCATCCTCAGCTACATATGTATTTCAAGGCCAGCCCAGGATACACAAGATTCTGATTGAAAAACAAAACACAAATGAACAAACACAACCCAAGAGGAAAATCATATACAGTTGTTCATAAGTATTGGGCAATGACCATGTTTAAATCTGAGCCCGAGAAATGAAAGCTATAGAAAGTTAGGTGCTTGCTTCATGGAAGAGAAAACTTCACATAGGGTTGGAAATAGTGACCTTTTTTCAATTGAGGAACCTAAGGATTAACGTAGTATGAGTACTTTAGGAATGAGAAGTATAGTAGAGAGATGATTTTGTGAAAAGCAGAACTATCCGTTAGAATGAAACAGAATTCCATTTGAGAGATGGATTTGCCTGGCTGATCTTTTCTTAACACTGTCCATTAAATAGAGGGTGTGGGGGATTTATGACTAAAGTGAAAATGAGCCTATTTGAGGAAGCCATGACAAATGGACAAGGGAACAATGTATTCTTGATTCTTGACAAACACTTTTAAGATCCTCACTTTTCACAGACACACACACACACACACACACAGAGTCTTCTTCATGAAGCTATTCCTTCTCTCACAGTTGTTTATCCTGGTTCTGTTTCCTATCCTCTTCTACCCTCCCTAATCGTTACATGTCCTCCCCATCCCTCCTCAACTTTCTCTATGACACCATGTCTGATATCTTTCTGTCTCTATTTCATCGCTGTGTGTCTTCTCTTCCTCTGCGTCTCTTGCCTTGCAGACCACTTGGATTATTTGGCACACTTTGTTCTAGGATCAGTGGATTCTGATTATTTGCTGTCATTGGAGAAATAATAGACCTTTTCAGGTCAGCTTCTGTATACAATGAGCTGCACAAGTCTGATGAACAGGTACAGTTAAACAGGAATGAGCAGAGGGAGCAAAGCACATCATAAATTGAGTGTAGAGCAAAACTGATTGTTCTAGTGAGTTAGCAAGAGCCAAAGCCAGAATGAAGTACACCCTATGGAACAAATCATCTATGAGAAGCTTTATTTGAAAGTTGTATTTAGTAGCTGGCCCATAGACATACATATTTCAATTAGTAGAGCAAACTCACCCCCAAACTTATGCACGCCACTTCTCAGCCAGCTGAAGCCCTTTTAAGCTCTCAGGAAGATCTCCCTGAGACACTAATTTTACTTTCCTCCTAGAGCAATAATAGCTTCCTACACTGCCCTACCGCACCCTTCACAAAATACGTCTTTAACTCAAGGACTCATTTGCTTATAATACAGTCAATGAACAGTTTTTATATATGTTAGCATTTGTTCTAGATAGTAGGCATTACTAAGTAAAATTTCTGCCCTGAAAAAAACGCACAACACACTGAATGAAATAGATATTTAATACAAATAAATTAATAGTATAATAAATATCTATAGGGCACAAGAATTGTATTGGGGATAGGTTGGTCGCTTTTCCCCAGGTCTTAAAGGGCTTGTAATGGAGTTTAGAAGGCGAATAAAAGCTTGTGTAGGGTCAGTCAGTGTTAAAGAGCTAATGAGATGTTCACATACCATGAAAGCACTATCTGAACCTGTTGCCTTGTATGTCTTCATCTGAATTTAAACATGAAACGGGGTGGAGCTAAGAAACACATTTCTCGTTCCAGGCAGAGGCACGGACTAGATACTTCTCAGTCTTCTACCTCTCCATCAATGCAGGGAGCCTGATTTCTACGTTCATCACACCCATGCTGAGAGGTTAGGATTCTTTCTATGGGGCTGGCTGTGTAGGGCGTTAGCCTGGCCAACCAAAAAGCCATTCACTGCTTCAGGTGGTCCAGCTTCTCCTACATATGAGCTAATAAATATATGAGAGGTTATTTTAGTTTTGATTTGTCTGGCTTAAAATAGGGGTTATGGGTTAGATGGCGGGAAGAAAAGAGGATGGCCATGTCTATACCGAGAGTAAAATATCACAGAGTTATGATTCGTGATTGCTCTTCCCTCTCTGTTTTCTTCAGGAGATGTGAAGTGTTTCGGAGAAGACTGCTATGCGCTGGCTTTTGGAATTCCGGGACTGCTCATGGTACTAGCACTTGGTGAGTACAGTGGAAAAAGGAAACGAACAGCCGTTGACCCCTGCCATGTGGAAAGCATCATTAAGGAACTCCACACAAACTATTTCATTTAACCTCCACACTAACTCTATTAGGCAAATGTTGTTGTAGTGATTTCCCTTTGAGTTTTGAAGACAAATTATGAATGGCATCAGAAATTAATTTTTAAAATTTTCTAGGCATCAGCATATGTTTGTGTCTTACATGCATGCTTCGTGCCTGTGGAGGCCCGAGCAGGGCATCAGACTCTCTGGAACTGGAGTTACAGAGGGTACAGAGTTACAGAGGTCACAATTGCAAGCAACCCTGTGGGTACTACGAATCCACCCCAGGTCCTCTGAAAGAGCAACAAGTACTCTTAATTTCTGAGCCATCTCTCCAGTCCCATAAACCATTTTTTTTAAAAAGTGTTACAGTTCCATAGTTAGAAAACTTCAAAGGAGCATTAAAACAAACAAACAAACAAACAAACAAACTCCAATCTTTGGAGTACATGTAGGACTGCCAATCAGGAGTTTGAGTGTCGAAAGTTTTAAAATATCTCAGGTAATTTTGTTTTTCTGCCTGCCTTTACCTCCGGGAAGCTGGCATCAAAGGCATGCACTACCATGGCTTGGTGTTCTCAAGTGATTCTTGTGTGTAGTCAGGATTGAAGCCCATTGCTTGCTGCTGAAATATGAAAGGAAGGAATGAAGATAATTCAGCCTCTGTCTCAAACTAGTTTATGTTATCTGATACTTATTTTTTTTTTTCTGGTAAGTAGATGCTACCTTTGATTGCCTGGGCATTTTAAAGCAGCTTCCAGAATTAGATTTTTTTTTTCCTCCCCTACTCTGCAAAGCTCCCAAGGAATTTTCTCTTGAACAAAGAGAATTAAAGAAGAGTTGGATAAATAGCTAGGAAGCAATGCAACTTAGATCAAGTGGCACTCTTTTCATCACTGAGAACCTTGTCCTGAAAAAGACAGGGGGCTATGTGGGCCTGTTAGTTTAGGCAATTCCCCTAAAGGGAGGCTTGGGTGTGATTGTTTCTAGCCATTGACCTGGAAACCTGTTCTCACTGTGTGCCTCGGGGTGACACCCTTCTGGATGATATCCAGTCCAAACACATAAAGAGCTCAGCCGAGGCAGAGGAGCCCAGAGACTACATGTTTAGTCTGTTTTTTTTTCCTACCAGAAATACTTAAAGCAATACAGCTCCCAATTCCAAAGAAAGTTATTCTGGTAGATGATCAAACGCTCTAGGTTTCCTTCTCCTTTCAATGCCAAATATTTTCCACAAGCACTTTCTTGTTTGTTTGCTTTTTTTTCATTTATTAGTATCATGGCAGCTTTTTATATTACTGCCCAGTAATAATATTTAGACATTAAAGCAATTATGGAGCTCAAAAAAGATTCTGGAATTAGAATGTTTTATGCTCAGTGGGTGGTACCTGTCATTGTTACTCAGCTGATGACCTTCATGGTGATAAGATTTACTCTATGACAGATTTTGTGCTAGGTCTTGGAACTATACTAGTGATTTAGACAGTTATAAAGTTCATATTCTCAAAGAATTTATACTGTAAAGGGAGAGTAATCCAGACAGATAAACTATCCATGTTATAACCAGGGAGGTATAGAGAAAGCTATGGGACTCATAGAAGGGCCTTCTGAGGAATACTCTGGAGGTTGTAAGGGTTCGCTTACAGAGAAGACTAAGATAAGACCTCAAGGATGAACAGCAGTTCATCAAGGAAGGGACCTTAAGAAAAAAAGGTATAGTTGGTGTCTTCAGATGAGAGATGTCATGGCTGTTCAAAGGCCATATTATCTTGAATAATTCAAGTTATCTGGAGCAAAAAAGAGAGGGGGGAAGAAAAACTGCTAGAAGCAAAATAACGAAGATTAATTTAGACCAAGAAAAAATTAAAACTTCATTGTGAAGACAGCTTAGAATAAGCAAAAAAAAAAAAAAAAAAAAAAAAGATTTTGAGCAGAGAAATGATTGTTAGACTTTTCTGTAGTGTTTTTTTTTTTTTCAATCGTTTACACAGTGGAGAAGAAATTAGGTTGAGGTTGAGACAAGGCTAATATTGAGCTCATTTGCCCCATTTATCCTACTCCTTTAAATTTTGTACTTGAGGTGAGAGCCTTATTCAACTCATCTAGTCTTTGTCCCTGATGAATTATCCAGCCTTGGTATGATTGGATCTGTGAAATAAAAAGAAGAGAGAAGACACTGTTAAATATAGGGTTCTGACCTGAGCTGCAGGCTAGATAACAGAGTCACTCATTGAGACAGTGAGGATGAACAGGCCAAGGCAATGTTAATGGACTTGTTTGGGACAAGTTGCATGAGAGGTGCTCTCGGAATATCTAAACGCATCACCAAATAGTTATTTGGAAATACTGTTTTAGGGCCCCTAAGAAGAACAGTTGGGTTTTAGATACAGATAGAGATTTATAAGGTGTAGCCAGCAATTAAGCCTTGAAAAGAGAAAACTCCGAGAAAATAAGAGGAAGGTAAGAAGAAGACCTAGGCTCAAACTCTAAAGTCACGACAGCATTTAAAGAACAGACAACAAAGCAAAGTCCTCAAATAAAGCCAAGAGACTCCAAACGTAGTGACAAGTTTGTCATCCTAGCACCCTGGAGGAAGAGCCAGGAGGATCATGAGTAAGAATCCAGCCTAGGCTGCATAGTGAGTTCCAGGCCAGAGTGGGCATAAAGGGACACCCTGTCTCAAAAATGAAAGGAAGGAAAAAGAAAGTGGAGAGAGAGAGGGAAAAAAGGAGGGCTAGCTCATTGCCAATTACTTGACAAATAAAAGGAAAACTAAGAAATGAAGATGCGGGTTATGGTACATAGAGCGAGCTGAAGAATTATAATGGTGTAGACTAGGATTTTGGGAATGGGGACAGGAAATTACGGATAGTGGTTAGAGTATAGGGTACTTAAGGGGGAGTAATGAAACATAGAGTAAGAAATCATAGGTTAAGTGAGATTCTTTGAGGGGAGGGGCCATATGTTTTCTACCTACCTTCCTGCTTTAAGCAACTAGTCACATTACATTCACAGTCAAGAGCAGAGAACAATGAGCTCACAGATGCATGCAAGTGCTCAGGAAATGAAGCAGGTCTTTCCACTTCAGTGAGCCCGATTAAACTAATCCCTCATAGGCGCTCTCAGAAGATCCAGGTTTGTCAGGCTGACAACACTATCCATCACAAATGCTTCGAACATAGTTTTTTTTTTTTTAAATTGGCCTCATGTCAAAAATAGTATTTATGGCAATTTCTACCTGTGAAATCTTGTACATAGTGCTTCACTTCTTTAATCTTCAATTACTCATCTTTAAATGGAGATAGCAGTATATATTTTGTTAGACTAAATGAGTTGAAGCATAAAAAATGATCAATGGATGACAGGATAATGATGAATTTAGGAAGGCTTTTCCTGGCAAGAGTCTGGTTTTTTTGTTTGTTTGTTTGTTTGTTTTAGGCAGATCATGGAATGAAAAGTTTAATTTGGCATCAGACTAAAGAAGAAGTTGCCTAAAAAATGAAAAATAAGCTGATAGAGGTTTTAATATTTAAGGGTAGAAATTACTCTAGGCAGAATAACAGAGGTGGCAATGGTGATGTAAAAGAAGGGTCAGCCAAGCTACGTACTCAGGAAGGAAAAAAGTAATACAAGTTGGTGTCATATCAGATGCAGACATGGACAAAAGGGGCAGGGGTGGAAGGTGCGAGGAACCAAAGATGGCTGCTCTCTCTTGAAGGTGTCAATGAATATCTCTCAACAGTTGACCATTATCTTCTCTTGGCTACTCTGGAGTTAGGGAGTGAAAGTCAGTTCTCTGTGGGATTTGATGCGAACACACTGACTATTCTAAATGAGGAACTAAGAGATTGTTTGTGTATCAACTGCAGCTGTGTTTTTGATGGGAAGTAAGATGTACAGAAAACCACCTCCTGAAGGGAACATAGTGGCTCAAGTTATCAAATGCATATGGGTAAGTTCATGCATCGCCTTGTACTGATTGTGTGGTTCTCCACACGTGGGTGTGTTTTTCTCAATCGTCTTCCTCCTGTGTGCCTACCTTTTGGCAAACGGAGTTCGATTGATCCTCCTTGCCTCTACTTGACCATTACGTTTTTAGAAGTAGTTACTTTTTTAATAGGAAAAAAAAATGTCTGGAGTACAGTTATATGTGACACTAGCAGGAAATGAGGAAAGATAAAAATTAGGCCTCAGATAATTGGAATTCAATATTTGATAAAAACCCTGAGTACGTGCATGAGGGATAAGATACTGAATTGGAAAAAACAGGATGCAGTTTCTTTTCGTCTGTTTCTGATTCTGGATTCTTCCCTAGTTTGCTCTCTGCAACCGCTTCAGGAACCGTTCTGGGGGCGTCACGAAGCGACAGCACTGGCTAGACTGGGCAGCAGAAAAATACCCAGTAAGTGAAAACTGCAGAGAAACCTCACAGTTCTATGAAATCTTTCCAATTCTTTGCTTTGGGCACATTTGACCTCTTCTTTTACTGTTTTTGACCATTTCTACTCTAAGCAAGAAAAGCACATTTGGAACTTCTGGCAATTCTGCCTGCTCTTTCTTCCTCTCCGCAGAAGCATCTCATTATGGATGTGAAGGCACTGACCAGGGTACTGTTCCTTTATATCCCACTGCCCATGTTCTGGGCTCTTTTGGACCAACAGGTAATAGCAGTTTTTGGAAAGATATGTCTTCCCTCATCCTCTTTCTTATCATAGGAAAAAGGATGTCTCACAACACAATCTGTCTGCCCTAGGGTTCGAGATGGACACTGCAAGCTAACAAAATGGATGGGGATTTGGTGAGTTGAAAACGTTTCCAAAGAAGCATGTTAAGTTCTTCACAATACATAACTTATTTGTGATTAAGTTAATTTATAGAAGCACAATTTTTCTTTATTTCTACATATAGTCACTTATTTGTGATTTTTTTTTAAAAACTAACCTAAGATCTTTAGAGATGTACTTTAAGCCCCCAAACACTGCGTAGGTAAAGATAACCAAAGTTATGCTACTAATAAAAATCTTCTCTTTAGAAATCAGAGGGGAAGGGTAGGGAATGCACAGATGCTCTCCCACTCCACTACCCATGATGTGCTGAAAGGATGGCGGATGAAGTAAGGCAAGCCGGGTTGGTGGTTTCTCGGATATATGCCTGTCTTAGAACACACCAAGAAAAAGCCTGATTGGCGCTTCTACACAGCTTGATCTGCCCCTTAGGCAGAGTCAAGCAGGGGACCCATGGGAATGTGGGAGAATTAATAAAAGGCCTCCTTTGTGGCTATGGAAAGAGTGAGAAAGTTGTCATTATTATTTTCTCTTTTCCCAGTGTGCCTTCTTTGGTCCACTCCATCCTTTGGTCCATTCTTTATTTTCAATTGTTCCATCTCTGGATTGTTATATTGATAATTTTGAAGCAGACAGGGAGGGGTGACACCAATAGCCTCCAATATAATTTTACCTCTCCCTTCCTCTAACTGTCCAGGGTTACCATGGCAGTTCTCTGTTGAGTCTCTGGAAAGCAAATTTGGAAGCTAAATATTGTGTATTGAGGGCAACCTCACACAGCCTCTCCTTTTGATATTACCACCTCTAACTATGTCAGGGAGATTAATTAAAACATAGCAACTCTATCACTCTTAGGCAAAGTCTAATTCAGCTCGAACAGCCCCAACCCCAAAATCTGCCAGCCTAATTGCTCTAAAAGACAAAACTACTCCTGAGAATTACTATGCTATCACAGGTGAACATTTACACACCATAAAACATCCGTGAACAAAATTCTTGCTAATTAGTGAGTAAATTGCCCTCAGGCTAGTGTGTGAGACATGTATAAAACATAAACGAATTTCATATTTAAACTTTCAGCCTTACTGCTTCTCCTCCAGCCTCCAATATTCACGACAATTGCAAATACCAAGCATTTTGGAGAACAGATTCTTAACCCATACACCAAAAGCAACCTTCTTCCTGGGGTCCATCTGTCTTTAGCAAATAGTCATGATTTCACCCCAAGTCTCTTTCCTGCCCAAATATCTTTGCCAGTAAACCAAGAGCTGCAGAGCCAAGGATTTGATGAATTTTCTTTTATATGCTTCTTCTCTCCTACCAAGATGGGTAGCAGGCTTTCCTTGTCTTCTGCTGCTCTCTAACTATAGCTTATTATAATATTTCAGGGATTTTTTGTGCTCCAGCCGGATCAAATGCAGGTAGGGGACTTCTCTGCAGGCATAGGTGTGTGTCTCTTTCCTTATTTGTGCCTCTACCTGCTGCATTTGGGTTAAGAGCCATCGCCTGATGCATTCCTCATTGTGTGCCGAGAAGGCCCAAAGGTAGAGATGAAAAGAGTTCCTTTGAGTCACACTCTGCTTTCTCACATCCTTTTCTAAGGAGGTAATTTTGCCCAAGTCCAGAGAGACTGAGTATGAGCCCACAGGTAATGTGTGAGCATTGGATTTTCTTTTTACGTCAAGGTAGTATAAATGGAAATATTGTCAAGGAAAGTGCAAATGCAAGGCTATCGCTCCAGCTCAGTGGCATAGCCCTTGCCTATCATTCGAGATGCCCTAGGTTTGATCCCCAGTACTACCAAAACAAACAAAAAGCAAGCATAAACTTTTGTTGTATGAGCAACAAAGTCAGACTTTGCTTACTGATGGCGATTTTCAGGATACTTTTTAGCACCTTATTTTCCCTTTAGGCTTATTTCCCTTTAGGCTGTAACTAAAGATAATGGACAATGTGAAAGAGTGATTCTTAATTTGATTGACAGAAAAAAAAAACAGCCTCAGAAAGACTATTCCCTTAGTATATTTGTAGGTTAAGATGTTTTACAAAGGAGGTAAGCCTTGGGTATAAAGAGATTGAGAAATGTGAACTCTTTTACCTCCTGGGGTGAAAGTGGATAGATGTAAAGAAGGTGCATGCAAACAGATGAGAGCACGAGCTCACACCAAGACAGAGGACACTTATACTAATCTTTGTTGCCATGGTGTTTCAGGTACTAAATCCCTTTCTGGTTCTTATCTTCATCCCATTGTTTGACCTTATCATTTATCGGCTGATCTCCAAGTGTGGAATCAACTTCTCGTAAGTGCTCACGAGGGTATGAATTATTGCACACTGATTCAATGTCTGCCCAGTTTTGTGAGGATTCAAAGTTGGGATGTTTCTATTTAATTGATTATTTATTTTGATGGATCATCTATCTGTTTCTGTTTTTCCATGTTTGACAAAATTCTATTGGTGTGGAAAGGTGGAAATTAGATCTTCCTGGTTATTATCAATGGCAATGTTACAGACTTGCGTATATGATGCCGTAGGGTAGATCTAGGCAAGTATGTGGTATTGGATTTCTAAAACTCCATGCTGCCCTTGAATGTTGCTGTCCAAAGAAGTCTACTTACTTACTTATATTGTGTGTGGTGGGGAAGGGGGTAATGTGTGTGCCATAATTGTGTGGAGGTCAGAGAAAAACCTGAGGGAATTGATTCTCTCCCTCTGCCATGATGGTTCTGGGAACTGAACTCAGGTGTTCAGCCTTCACCACATTATACTCTGGGCCATCTTCCTGGACCAAGTCCTAAGGTTTTGGTGACAACTAGTTCTTTTGAATCTCCTGTTGTTTCTATGAAACTAAGAAAGGACCTGGTAGGACTGGGTACAGCATTATTTTTAGTTACTATTCACTGGAACCTGCCCCATGCTGAGTAGAAAGTACTGTTTCTACAGTTTGAGTCTCCTCCCGTCTCTGATTTAACAGCAATCTAGTTGTGACAGTAAAATGATCAGCAACTTTACCACATACAAATGCCCTTGACAGTTACTTAGGGAGCAGGAATTAGGGAGTCTAGTGCCAAGTTCCATGAAAGTGTAAATCAAGCACAGATCCTTTTTTTTCAAGGTGTTCACTACTTAGAAAGGGAGGTAGAGCATAGGCAAAGATGACTATTACATGGTAAATACCGGAGGCAATACCTATGGTAAAGACCCTAGGGAGGGAAGATGGAAATGCCACAGAAGAGCAGAGGAGAGAGTCCTTCTCGATTCTCACACCAACAAAGACCTCCAAAGGAAAAAAAAATGAGTTGAAGAATTATAACAGTTGATATCTATTACACAACAAACCTGGTTATATTGCTGTTACCATTAATATTATGATGTAATGGCTAAAGTCATTGTAATCATAAGTAAAGGTGAGAAAAGTGGCATATTACAGAGAAGAGTTGCCAAGTGTGACTCGAGTGAAAGGGTGTTTGAAGGAGAGTTCTAGAAAACACTTTCAAAAGTAATTTGGGATGAATTAAGGAAGCCTTTAAAGAAAGGCTAAGGATTCTCGACTTTGTCCCACTGAATAACGGGTCGATATAACGGGCTCTCCTTTCCCCCACAGATCGCTTAGGAAAATGGCTGTTGGTATGATCCTAGCATGCCTGGCATTCGCAGTTGCAGCACTTGTAGAGATAAAAATAAATGTGAGTTCAATCGATGTGAAGCTTCCGATCTGTTCCCTCCGCTTTTCTTACATGTCCAATCATGACTCCTTGGGACGCACCATAATATTCGTTTCACAGGACAGTCATGCTGGATATTTAGGTGAAAAGAGCAACAGTGCTCTGAAGCCCGCTTTCCACCCGAGTGATTCAGGGTTGACCTTCAGGAAATCGCACAGCACAAATAGCGAACAAACGTTTACACGATGCCTTTGTAGTGACATCCAACAGCCACTATTGGTGAATGAGCTGCAAGACCACAACTGAAGAAATGTGCTCGTTACCTACAAAACCATTTGACTTTTCATGTTTCTAAGCCAAATGCTGTTCAGAGGGACAAACGTGTGTAGTGTTGGCCAGAAGGCTCTGCTGCCAGAGACAGGACTCAGGTGTGTGTTCTTGTTTTATATGTCTTTCAGGGAATGGCCCATCCCCAGCCAGCTTCCCAAGAGATTTTCCTACAAGTCCTGAACTTGGCAGATGGTAAAATAAAGGTGACAGTGCTAGGAAGCAGAAATAATTCTCTCCTGGTGGAGTCCGTCAACTCTTTTCAGGTGAGGTTTGGGGCCCAGGTGAATTGGAAATTGTATATGCTGCAATAGCCTTGGGTGTTTAATGACATTAATCATTTTATCATACAACCTTGTCCCTATGGCCTTAAATAATCTCTGATAACACATTATTTTAGTGATCACATAATATTCTATCCCTCAAATAGAGTTCATTGAAGTGTTTTCTTATAGACACTCAAGTTGGGTTTTATTGTTGTTCCTGTCTTTGTGGCTGTACCAGGAATCGAACCATGGCATCAGGCATGCGGTGCAAGCACTCTGCCACTTAGCTACACTTATAGCACTGCAAGTTTTTTTAAATTTTTATTTATTTTTATGTGTGTGGATGCTTTGCCTACATGCATGCCTGTACGTGCCTGGTGCTGGCAGACATCAGAAAAGGTCATCAGATCCCCTAGAACTATAGTTACAGGTGATTGTGAGCCACCATGTAGGTGCTGAGAATTGAACCAAGGTCCCCTGGTTCAAAGCAGCCAGTGCTCTTAACCACTGAGATATCTCTCCAGCCCTGATGCATTTATTATGATGAACATTGTTCATTATATTATAATGATGCACTATTATAATGAACCTCCCTTCTCATCCTTTTGTACACCTCTATGTCTCGTGCTAGTGTCCTAGAAGTGAAATAACTGATTTAGAGACAGAAATGGCTAGTTGCTGATGAGGTGACACATCCCAAAGCTATGGAATTGTAATGTCCACACTGGCATAGAAAATGAGTGTGACAGGTTCTTTGTCCCCCAGAACACAACACACTATTCCAAACTGCACCTGGAAACAAAAAGCCAAAATTTACATTTTCATCTGAAGTATAACAACTTGTCTGTCCACAATGAGCATTCTGTAGAAGAGAAGAACAGTTACCACCTGGTTGTTCATGAGGATGGGGAAAGTATCTCCAGTATGCTGGTAAGTTAAGGAGTCGTTCCAGTTCTGTTTGGAAGTAGGATGACTGCCTCATCAGAAGTCACCAAGGGTCTGCCTGAGAATGGAATGTTCTCATTATAGGTTTTAATTAGTCAGCTCCTACTGATTTTTGCTTTTCTCGGTTGCAGGTAAAGGATACAGGAATCAAACCAGCCAATGGGATGACAGCCATCAGGTTTGGGTGTTGGGGGCTTAGATGAAGAGGCCTCACATTTCACTTGCTCTGAGCAAGGGTTTTTACTTCTTAGAAGATCAGGGGCACTGGTGTCTGTGACATTTTCTAGGATACTGAAAGGCAAATGTGCCAGCATGCTCTCTGCCTGGAGGGCTGGCAGATAACCCTGAATCAGTAGATACCCTCTGCTTTCTACCACATGAAAGTCCTTCTACTTACTGTTATCCATCTATCTTACTCTCAGGGAAATAACTGTAAATTTCTGCGTTTATCAGATAAACATTTGGAAGTGAGCAAATGTTCCTACCTTCATTTTTGGTACCTTCATTTATTCTGTCCTATAAAATATAGGTTCCTATTTTAAATTGACAGCTATCAAAAGAGTTGGTTTTAAATGCTGATAGGGCTAAAGGTCTTTTCATATGGCACAGGACAGATAGAGAGGTGACCACCTGCTCTCTGTGGCTGGAATTGGGTATGAAGCATAGAGAAACTGTGGCACCAAGACTAGCTAGTTATTGTTTAAAAGTAGACGAGAACCTGTGAAGAAAAGTCTGAATTCACTGGGAAGTAAAATACATGTAAGAACTTGCCCTTGAAATGTTTCAGAAAAGACAGTCACCCAGAGTAAGTAAAGAAAGAAGGGGCAGCAGGCATAGATTTTTCTGCACAAATGAGAAAAACCCAGGAATCAACTTTCAAAATACTAGAAGAAACTGCCCAGTTTATCTCTAGAGCGAGACCAAGACTAAAATCATTAAAACAGAAATTAATCAAAACCCCATTCTGAGGGGGCCTTCGGGTCAGAACACTAGAAAGAGGTTTCTGACGACTGAAATATATTGACAGCACCTTCTGTGGGCAGGGCCTCTAAACTTTGCCCAAGTCAAACTGGATTTCTTTTCTAAGAAGATAACTGGTTTACGGAAAATGTTATATCTTTACACATAACACATTGTACGCAGATTTGTATTGTTTTTCTTAAATCTCAATCGAGAAATTCCACCATTAAGAGGGGGAAAATGGCTGGGGAAGCAGTTTGGTGGGCAAAGGGCTTGCTGCACAAGGTCATCAAGGTCAAGGCCAAGCCACAGAGCCCATGCAAAAAAAAAAAAAAATTAATGTATTGGCATGAACTTGTAATCCCAGCTCTCAGCGAGACATACCGTCTCAGACAGCAAGGTGGAGAGCTATCATGAGAAGCAACATCTGTGGTTGACTTCAGGCTCCCACCCAACATGTGAAAGTATATGTACGTGAACACACACACACATACACGCACATGCAGACACACATACATACAGTAAAGAAAGAAGTAAGTTAGACGTCCCTAGGCTTGATTAGAAAGGAAGGTCAGATTGCCATGTGTGACTGTAGTAATGTACCTGGCCATTTGATGAGTATGTGTCAGTCATACACTAGAAAAAAAAAAAGTTTGTTTTTCCTAGAGTAAGTTAAGGCTGGTGATCACCTCTTACATTCAAGTTCATTTGTTTGTCTATTTGTCCCTGTCCCAGCCACTATTTTGCATGCTTAGAATATAGTTATGAGCCACACAGGATTGGCTGTCCCTGTTTGGATATGTTTGTCTGATGTGTAAATAACGTGTCTACCCGCAGATTTATTAACACTTTGCATAAAGACATCAACATCTCCTTGGGCGCAGGTGCTCCTCTCAGTGTGGGCAAAGACTACGGAGTATCTGCATACAGAACTGTGCCAAGAGGAAAGTAAGAGCCTTTGTGGACATTTTACTTTTATCAAAACAATCATTTTCAAACACTATTTTTGTATTCAAGTGATAGACATCTGTGTTAATTTGGGGTATGAGGATATTTCTGCTTCTTCTTAATTGTAACCTCTCCATTTCAGGCTCATCTTATTTCTACGTTGGTCAGCTGAGTATATGATTTCTGTGATGAATGTACTATGTAGTTAATACAGCCCACCTCTGTGAGGCTCAGGAAGTTTAGTGTTGATTTTGGCTCCTGCTCTTTTTACCTGTCATTGGTACCTCATTACTTAGAATTTCTCTCTCATGTTCCCTGTTTTATTATATTCTGATAAGTCATAAGATTTACATGAGGAAAGTTCATGGGCTTGAAATCTACAAAAGTTGATCTGTGTAGGGTTAGAATTTTTATGTGCTTATAAGGCAATAAGAAGTGCAGATCCAAGGCAGAAACATGGCACGAAAGTGGCTCACTCCTAGAAGTATCTCTCTTCAAAGACAAGTGGCTTCGACATTTTCCTCGGTAGAGTTGAGATCTCTCTTCCTGGGGTTGGAAGTGTGTCCTAAGCAATGCCGTTTATTCCAGCCAAATTTCATCTTGTTGCAGGTACCCTGCAGTGTACTGTGAGACAGAAGACAAAAGCGTTTCTCTTGATTTAGGTCATCTAGACTTTGGTATAACGTATTTGTTTGTGATCACTAATGTAAGTAGCTTACAACCGACTGCCTTCCTTCTGTCTGATTGTCTGCCTGCCTATCTCTTTGTCTATGTCTCTTTTCCTTTTACACACACAAACACACACACACACACACATACATATCTTGGAATCTTAATGAAGACAAAGTGCAAATGAGAAGACATTGCACAAGACAGGATTATATACTTCTTTCTTGCCCACTATAAGACTTTCCACCACTGTGACAAATGTCTGATAGAAATAGGTAGAAAGGCTGAAACATTTTTCTTGGCTCATGGTTTCACACAGTTTAGTCTATGGTTGGATGGCTCCGTTGCCTTTAAGTCTATTGAAGAAACATCATGGTGGAAGGACATGATGGAGAAAAGGTGTCAGGGATGCCATGGTGACCAGGAAGCACAGAGAACAGGAGAGGAAGGGATCGGGGACAAACTATAACCTTCAAAGTCATGCCCTCATTGATTTACTTCCTTCATGCTGGGGGCCTCCCCTACCAGTGTCTACCATGATGCAATTGTCCATTCAGAACTTAAATCCGTCAGTCACCTCATTTATTGATTAGCTCAGAGCTCTCATGATTTAATTACTCCCTTCAAGTACCACCTCTGAACTTTACTTTAGGGAACAGTCCTTTAAAACATATGTCTTTGAGAGTACATTTCCTATTGAAATAGCAGTAGGTCTGCAGTGGCTTTAGAAAGCCCATGATCTCTATAGGAAATCTCAAAATGACATAACAGCAGAAGCAGGCAAAGAGTGTTGGGAATGGAGACATAACGTGTCCCAAGCTATCACTATGAAATCTCACAGCCAGCTTCAGTCTCCTTATACTTTAGGTAGCCAAATACTATTCATAGAAAATTACTTTTTTCTTGTTAGCTTGATACAGAGGTCTCCTGGGTCCCTGGAATTTTTATCTACTATACAACAGTCTGAATACCAATCCCCACACAAAGTTTTGGAATTAATTAAACTGGGGTCTATCAAAAGTAATTGCCACTGGCATGGTGACACACACACACACACACACACACACACACACACACACACACATACCTTTAATACCAGCACTTAAGAGGCAGAGACAGGCAGATCTCTGTAAGTTTGAGGCCAGGCAATGGCCTATGGAGAAAGCTCAAGGTTTGCCAGAGCTGCATAGTGAGACAGTGTTTCAAACAAACAAACAGCAATTGACTCAGAAACTAGACCAGAGAACTTTTGTCTTTATTTTTGTTTTCAGAGACAGGGTTTCTCTGTCTTGGAACTCACTCTGTAGCCCAGGCTGGCCTCGAACTCATAGAGATCTGCCTGCCTCTGCCACCCGAGGGCTGGTATTAAAGTCATGTACCATCACTTCCCAGCCTGAAACTTAATTAAAAAAATATTTTTGTGTATCAGTATTGTGTTTGCACGTATGTATGTGTACCACATGCAAACCTGGTACCTGTGGGTGTCCAGACAAGGATATCAGATTTCAATTACTATTTTTTTTGTAATAACCTTTCATTAAAGGTTCATATTCTATACTTTCACACACAGAGACAGATAATCCATATGTATGAATTATCTATAGTCATTTTAACACAACTTATTGAAAAGACTGTAACTAAATTGATGCTCTTGTTGAAAAGCAGTTGAGCACAATATGATGTCCTATTTGTATAATGCTTTTGTAGTTTCCAGAGACTACTGTTTATATTTACTTTCTCACACTTATTCTCAATTAGTTTTATTATTTCTTAATTTCATTTTTCTATTGGTTATTTTAAGTCATAAAATATAACTGATTTTGTGTGTTAATCTGTGCATATGATTATGAACTGTTATTGAGCTAATTTGTTAGACCTAGCACTTTAGGGGAGCCCTTAAACTCCCTACATACGAGGTCATGTCATCTGCAAATAGAGATAGCTTCACTTTCTTTTCAGTCTAAATGCCTATTATTTCCTGCCCATTTGCTCTGGTGTATAACATGAATCGATTTTTCAAGTAATAAACCAATCTAGGTCTATAACATTTATAGGGCTGCTGTGACAAACTAACATAAGCTAAGGACCTTACAAAAGAGAAGGTTAGTGTTTCATACCTTTCCGTATCTCTATCTCTCTATCATTTATATCTATACCTATATATCCTACAAGTCTGTAAGGATTGTTCATTCTGAGACCTGTGAGGAAGAAACTTTTCCATGCCTTTCCTATGGCTTCTAGTGGTTTGTTGGGAATTTGGTATTTCTTGAGGTACAATATAATCACCCCATTGTCTAACTGTATCTTCGAAAAGCACTCTGTATGCCTTTCTATCTATATTCCTCCATTATATGTATGTATACCCATCATATTCAAATAGCCCACCTTAACGACCCCATTTCACTTGATTAATTATATCTATAAGCACCCTATTTCCAAATAAGCTTACGTTGTCAAATACTGGATACTATAACTTTTAACACTGGAGTTTTTAGGGACACACCTTGACTTGGAAAAGTTGTATTTCCTGTATTAGTCCAGTCTTTGCTTGTTCTGTCTCTCTAGATGTTTCTGAATCTTGATGGCTATTAGACATCTAAAATAGAAGTCAGAAATTGAAGGTTGTGAACCCAATTCCTTCCACAGTCCTAACTTGCTTGGGTTATTTGGTGTTGACACTAAGTAATAAAAGAATTAGTGGCCAGTATTTAGAATTCCATAGATTTTATATTCTGACATTGTAATAATGTCAGAAGATCCTACGACAGCTACCACCATGTCACGTGACTGGCTCTGCCTTTTGATGGTTCAGTTCAGCAATGTCCTTATCATTTCCACTCGATATGTTTCATTTAGTTAATTAACTGCCTTAGAACATCTGAAAGCTGACCTTTTAGAGGCCTTTGTCAGAGTATGTTCTTATGCTGAGAACATATGCACCTGTACCTGCATACACACACCACACACACACCACACACACACCACACACACCACACACACCACACCCACACATCACACACACATCACACATACACACACATACCATGCACACACATAGATTCCTAGACATTATGTAATACATTCTTAACTAAAGAAAAACCAAGATTCTTTTACTTCAGTGTTTTGAACCTAATGCCCCAAAGACTCTTTAATCTCAAGGACTTTTACTGTAATCGACTGAAGTCAGGAAGATAAATGTAGTGTTACCAAGAGAAGATTCCAAACACTGGAATTGTATAGAAATGTCTAATGTCTTGATGGTATCAGGGGAGTGAAACTAAAAGGAAAGAATAGACACAGATCATAGAATGCTGTAGTTAGGTGTACTTTTTCTTAAGATTACTAAGAAGTCCACTTCTTATTTCTCCCACCAAGATCACGAATCAGGGTCTTCAGGCTTGGAAGACAGAAGACATTCCAGCCAATAAACTATCCATTGCGTGGCAGCTACCACAGTATGTCCTGGTCACAGCGGCAGAGGTCATGTTCTCTGTCACAGGACTTGAATTTTCTTATTCTCAGGTAAGATTTTGCAAGTAGAAATGGTGACACCACTTAGAAGATAATGAGTTTTAAGTCCTGTACCTTAAATGGGCACATCATCCTAAGACCTCCATCTCTTTGGTTCGTGACTTCCTTGTATTTGACCCCAAGCAGCCATCTTAATGTATTGGATCATGACAATACAGCATTTGAGTCTATGGTGCAAAAAAATAAGATGAAGAGCAAGGGCTATGAGATTAGATTACTCATGTTCAAACACTGGCTGCCTGACCTGCTGTGTAACAGGAACAAGTAAATCACCTCTCCAACGCTGTTTTATTTCCTTTTCTTTATGCTCTTCTTCTACTTTCAGAGTACCACAGTAACACAGCTTCTTTCTTAAGTTTTGGGTAATAATTATAGGATTCAGTAAAATAAAAAGGTTCGATAATCTACTTCCTTCTTACTGTTATATTATTACAATCTCTTGAAACAATGCAAGAGCTGAAGCCAGTGAGGAAGGTGAACGACGGTAGGTTTTTAGGGGAGATGTTCCATGGCTAGGTTCATGTAACGGGAAGGGAGAATGGGTAATCTCAGTGCTTCCAAATGTGTCCTCCCCAGGCACCGTCTAGCATGAAGTCTGTGCTCCAGGCAGCCTGGTTGTTGACCGTTGCCATTGGGAATATCATTGTGCTTGTAGTGGCACAGTTCAGCGGCCTGGTACAGGTATGGATCTGAGGGAAACGCGAGCTCGCGTCTACGCAAACCTTCCCCTCCAACTTCCTCTTCTCTCTTTTCCCAGATCTTGGCCTCCAGGTTCCCTATCAGTGACATGAGGCTTAGATGACAGAGTTTGCCAGGAAATAGACATCCATGTTTGGCAATAACCACCATGGACCTGGGGGAGGAGAGGCCGGGGAATCTAGTGTTCTGCCAAGAAAAGTGCCTCAAGCGATGATTCCTAGCCATCTTATCCCTCCACAGCCAGATTGCCCTATTTAAAGGCTTCTCCATAATCTTCTCTTCCTGTTATTTCTCCCTGCAGTGGGCTGAATTTGTTTTGTTTTCCTGCCTCCTGCTGGTGGTCTGCCTGATCTTCTCCATCATGGGCTACTACTATGTTCCTCTAAAGTCAGAGGGTGTCCACGAGCCAGAAGAGAAGCGGATTCCTCACATCCAGGGGAATATGATCAACCTGGAAACCAAGAATACAAGGCTCTGACCACTCACCGGACTGATAACTGGTTCCTGCCACTGACTGCAGCCATCACTTACCTTCAAGCATATTTTTTCCCCTCCTACCAGATTAGGAGAAGGAGATAACATTTTATCTGAGTGGATCTCCTCCATTTTTTTTCCACCACAACAGAGGCAATTCTAGGACTAGGTTCTTCAGGTGCATCTTTAAACAAGGATCCAAGACTTTGCATCCTCCGGGCTGTTGATAAACTTAGTAAACATTAGGCAATGTATCACAAGCTGGCCCAGGATCTCCACATGCCCATGAAAAGACAAATGTGTGAAAGAGATAAGTCTCTGTGGGTATGGTATTCCAAGTTTCTTTATCAGTAGTGTGATTGCACTAATTCATGAAGATGTCAAAATGGTATGATGTAATCTTAGAGCTTTGCTTGTCAGCTAGCAAGTTTAATATGATTTTAGATGGCAAGCGACAGAACGACACTTTATCAACAGATGGAAGATACATCTTTCTGCTGTATTGGAAAGATACAGCGTTTTATCTACTTATCCAAACATCCCTTTCTCAGCACTGACAGATCCTGGAGACCACAATTAAAGACAGTAAGGACAGTCATGGAGATCCAGGAATGCATATAAATTACTCATTTTCCTTTACTGCACATTCCTCTAAAGAATTCTGTTTCTGTCCTGGGCTGTGCTCTTCTGTGAACATCTGTCTAAGAAACTAATGAAAACTTTGCAACCCAGCCTTTTCAATGTTGCTGGAGCAGCTTTATCTTACTGGTACATTTTATTTGCTTATTACAGCAAATCTTTCAATAACAAAATTTTTTTTCTAATCAACTTCCCTTAATTTTTTTTCTGTTTAGCTTCTTTGTTATGCATTTTTACTTCTTCCGTAATTTTTGTTTACATTTCTCCCTTTAGCCTTAGAAATGTCCTGTTTATTGAAAAGGGATACTAATGTCCTAGGTTTGAAGCTCTAAATCATACTATTCAACAGATTGGCAAGGTCCTGCATGGGAAAACTATCAGACTCTGTGGGGGTGGGCAGAGAAGGTTCAGTTTCCATTTGCGTGTGTGAACAAAAGAGTTGACAGACATTATCTCACATGCAGTGTGTGAATCGGAACAAGCCTGGGGTTATCAGGACTGTGCCATGTGTCGCTAGGAGAAAATATTCTCAGCCTCTGAATGAAAGACCTCATTTCTACTCCTCTTGTTCTCATCTGTAGCCAAGTTGGATTGCACACTATTAATAATGTAATATATTCTTAAGAGAATTTGCTCCAGTTCCTCAAGCTTTAAATACTTTAGTTTTAATGACTAAAATTTCAGAAGCATAGAAGATGCTGCAACACCATCCAGTTTCCCCAGATACCCTGATGGGAACCTGTCCAAACTCCTTCAGAAGCTGTTCATCTTTAAGAAGCTTTAACTCAAACTATTTTATGAATTTTGTTGTCAGAGTGGTTAACACTGATCTGTGAATAAAAGTTTTTGTGAACAAGTAAGTTTGGGAAATGAGATATGTTACTATTCTCTGTTAAGTATTCCATCACTGGGTTAACGTCTCTGAGAGGTCCCTGAATTATCTAAACATGTGGTAGTTTCTTCAGGACCCTGGTTTCAGAAGGACCTTTATGCTGGCTAATGGCTTCATTCACAAAGCTCTCTGCTATTGAGCTGTGGGCATAGCTCAGCAGTACAATTGCTTATTGTGCACAGGGTCCTGGATGCAATCTCCAGAACCATAATCAAATGGACAAACCAACACCCTTCTAACTACACTGATTCTGTCCTTCATCACAAACAAGGATAAGCATGGCTTTCTCTTTGGGGTCTTTGAGGCATTTGGGAGAGACCCCTTTCATTATGAATTCAGGTAAGTGAAATGTTCTCAATTATTGTACCAGTTCCTTACAAGGCACGGCTCTGTCTTTTTACCATGATAGCTTTTTTTCTTCTAAAAAAAATCTTTACGTGAAATTTAGCAGTTAAGTTTAAGTTATGTGATGCCTAGAACCAATTACAACAGCACAGATGTCGTCTGACTGGCAAGGTTAGCACCATCCTCTATACAATGCATTTTAATTAAACCAGGTAAGGTAACAGTTGATGTTTTTCAAAACCACTATTACTGGGTGAAATTATTATAAGTTTTTAAAAGAATGCTATCATTCATATTTTGAGTTCTGCTATGTGCTATTCAATGAATTAGCCAAGGAAGAAACAAAACAACAATCCACTAGATCTATGCTCAAGGTTGCTTTTCACATCTTGGCTGACGACTGGTGAGGTCTTGGTGAATAGACCCTTAGGCAATCAACGATGTAATGAGAGAGAGAAACACACAGCACTGTAAGAGTAGAGAGTATAAGAGATAGAAGACTCATTTAGAGGAATCCCAGGGACCAAATCCTGTGGGGCTCTGAGCCCAGGGGGGCTGGGGAGATGGCCCAGTGGGTGCAGACGTCATTGTGTAAGCATGAGGACCTGAGTTTGGATTCCCAGTACCCATATGAAAGCTGGCCATGGCAGTGCCTTTGTAACACCAGTGTTAGGGGTGAAACAGGCAAACCCCAGTGGCTTGCTGGCAAGCCAAAACAGGGAACTCCAGGTTCACGAGAGATTCTGTCTCTCAATGTCTTCTATATGTGTGAGCCCACGTGCACAAGCACATACACATTCCTTTATTGTTTTATTTCCATTTGAGTGTGTGTTGTGTATGTATGCATTCTTTGCTTGCTGGGGTGTGTGTGTGTGTGTGTGTGTGTGTGTGTGTGTGTGTGTGTGTTGAGTGTCCTTTCCATCACTCTCCATCTTATGCCCTTGAGTCAGGGTCTCTCATGAAACCTGGAGCTAGAATGTTGGTCAGTAAGCTCCAGCAAGCCTCTTGGGTCTATCCCCACCTCACAGCACCAGGGTTACAGGCATATACGTGACAATGGCTGGCTTTCTACATCGGCTCTAGGGATTTGAACCCATATCCTCAGGCTTGTGCATCAACCATGCTTAACTACTGAAAAATCTCCCAAGGCCCCAATTTCCTTTTGAATAAAGTATAATAAAACATTAAAACCTCCAAAGCAGAACACTTGACATTTATAATGCAAAATCAACTTAGCAGATCTCTAATTGTTACCAAGCTCCACCTTTAAAAATACTAATAAGCTGGGCATGATGGTGCACACCTTTGGTTCACACTCAGGGAGGCAGAGGCAGGCCATCTCTGTGAGTTCAAGGCCAGCCTGGTCTTCAAAGTGAGTCCAGGACAGCCAAGGCTACACAGAGAAACCCTGTCTCCAAAACCAAAAAGAAATACGCACACACACACACAAACAAACAACAGCAAAAAGTGTGTAAGCATAGAACGTTAGGACAGATCGGGAATGGCAAATTACTCCATCTCAAATGTTGGTTCCAGCTGCTTCATAGTGCCTTTTGGAGAGCTCTGTTCACATCAACTCTGGGGCTTTGTTCAAACTCAGCAGAAATGGGGACAGAGAGGACAGGGAAGTGGAATTTCCTGATTATTCTCAACTTTCTATTTTTAACTTCCTCTTACATAGTCTAGCTTCATCCACTCAGCTGCAATAACCACTTATCATTTCCCAAAAACATTTTGCAACACTTCTTGTTGTTATAATTCCTCTCTTTCATTGTCGACACTGCTCCTTGCCTAAGCTTCCTCGAATGAGATTCTTCACCTTCTTCCTGAAGTACTCTAGCCACTACTTACACCACTTTAGAGCATGTGTCAACATCCTTTGCTTTATAAATGTCATGTGTATAAACTACATTGTGAGCATTTCTGCTTCTCGAATTGGGCAATAAACTCATTGAATATGGTGGAGAAAAACAAAGTCACATGCAGTTTTGTAAACTGACCAACTGATGAGTCGCCAACAGGAGAATTTCTCTTCGTTATAAAAACAGAGTGTGTTTAGCAGAAGTTGCAAAGATTTTCAGTCTTAGTTCCAACGCCTACCTCTGTGTGCCTGTAAGAACAGGCCTGTGCCAAAGGCTCACCAGGAGCCCAAGGCTGGAGCTAGGAAATGGGGACTGCTGCTCCCTGCTCAGTTTTCAGGGCAGTAGCTTGGACCCAGGGCCTTCACCAGCACATATCGGAATTTCTAGACTACTCCAGCCATCGTTTAAAGATGCCAACTTTCAAACTCCAGAGACAGCTCAAGTATTTGTCGTGCTCAGACTCTGTTGCTTTGTGTCACGTGACATGCTTTGCGCGTAGTCAGCGCTGGCTGCATGCCTCTTAGTTCAGCCGCAGCAGAGGACTTAGGAAGGCCTATCGTTGTACAGAAGTGTTCTCATTTCTCTTGAAAATCTTACAGAAACTCATAGGGGCCCTGAGTCGCTGGCAGTCAACCCAAACAACCATTTGTTTTGTGAAACTTGAAGTAAAGGTGGCAACAAGAACCTAAACCTCTTGACTTAGGGTTTTTTGGTCTATATCTGATTCCAGCTATTAGCAATTACTGTTTAGTTCTGTATTTCTCCAAAGTGTGTACCAAGATACTATGGGCACTGTAACAAAGTCACAACACCAGGCACATTTTTAATTTTCAAAAAGCAGCAAAATCCTTTGGGTATTATGTAAACCACTATCTCCAGAGAGTTCACAGTTTTAACATTAAGTAAGACTGTATTCCTGTCAGTGACTTAATACAGAATGGGTATTTTGTTGCTTTCTATGATTAAAAACAAACAAACAAACAAACAAAAATAAATAATTGTGCAGAATAGGAAATGAAAATGACATTGGTCATCTGATTCTAGAGTTAGAAAATGTGTCCCACACTCAATAAATATACATCTGCCATAGCAACTAAATGCTGTTATTTAAGAATGAAATGAAAAATGTTTTTCTGCCTTTCAGTTTATGTGTATTTTTCCCACATGGCTATCAAGTTGTTAGTACATATTTACTCAATTGTTTAGACTTAGAAAAGTAGAATAATTTAGTAATCCTTTTGGCCTAGAGCATTAAAACAAAGGCACTGATATATCAGAAGATACCAACAAATTTAAGAATCTTGGATATAGTCTCATCATGGATTAAAAGTTTAAACAGATAAAAGGCTTTATATTCAATATTGTAGACATTTCTTTGGGATAATCCAATAAATTAAAAAGAAAGAGAAATGGAGGAGTGGGGAGCAATGCGGAGGGAAGGAAGAAGGAGGAGATGGGAGGATGATGGAGCAGAAACAGTCTAAGACAATAACTGAGTACTTGCTGAGTTCGAGCATTTGTGCTAAACACTTTACCTCTGATGACAGTTCTTAGTCTTAGGGCTTATACGTGATTGCTATGGCATATTTTGGATTTCTTCTGCTCTGATTAGTAAACAGCCATTCCCCAAACCCAAATGTTTCCTCATTGCCCTGGCATTCTAGTGCCTTCTGTAGCTAGGTATTACCTAGGCATCCTCATAACCTGGGCATCAGCAATGTAATGAGCCAAGAGAGGCTCCAGTACCTTGTTCCAGCCCGAACCTGATGTTGCTATACTTGATTAGTGCCTAGTGCAAAATGATTAGTACCCCAACCTTCTCCAGTCCTCACAGCAGCTCCTATGGAATAAATCACAAGGACCTAAAAGGCCTTGACCCTGCAGCAACATCATAGTTCTCATGATCTGTGGGACAATCAAGAACTTTCCACTGAGGTTTGATGAGCTGGTGTCGGTTTCGTGGTTTCTAACAGTACAGTGGCATTCCATTCAATTTTTTTTAAATCAAATTTATATACTCTACTGCACAAATTAGAATGCAATAGTGAGTAATTTCAAGTTACTAATAAGGCACCAGTGTCAACTAAGGAAATAAATAAAAACCCTTCCCCTTGGAGTTGTACCAAGAGCAAGCCCAGATTTGAATTCTCTCTTTCATGACGTGCCTTCCGTCTTCTGTCCATTGCACGAGTCTGAATCTGTGTCTGCTTGGTCATCTTGGGAATGTTTGTCCCTGTGTCAGTGTGTGTCTATCCCTGTATGTGTCTGTCTATTGTATGATCTGTGTGGGGGATGTCTGCCTTTTGGACATGTCTGTGTATATGAGTGATGTCTGTATCCAGCTAACAAAAGGCTTTGCTCTGCATTTGCTGAACAGCATCGAAAGCATCACATAGGGAAGAAAAGGGAGACTTGACAGAAGTCTGTAACAGCTTTTACAAGGAATTAAGTCACCGGCTCCAAATTATTCCAACTGACCCAGACAACAAACCTCATTGTTTATCAACCAATATCCATAAATATTTGTTTCAGTCTTTATAGCAGATTTTTAGGAAGTTAATTTAAACTTCTGCACTCTCTGATTTCAGTGAACGTATTATCCAAGACAGGGGCATGGAAAAGTAGATGATTTAAGATTATAGCTCTGCATTAGTTTAGGATGTAAAAATTGATTGCATGGGCAAATCAGTAAATCCAAGGCAAGCAATGGTTGTTACAAAAAGGCAGGTCAGACAAACACTCTGAGAACACAATAGGCTAG